TGAATGGAAGGGGAGAGGGAGTGGGAAAGGGGAGGGTTGTGGGTGGGAGGGACGGTATGGGGGGGAAGCCATAGTAATCCATTATTCGTACTTTGGAAACGTATATTCATTAAATAAAAGTAAAAAAAAAAAAGAAAAGAAAAGAAAAATCAGTTCCTATAAAAAAGAGAAAAAAAAAAAAACAATGAAATCTGGTCATTTGCAACAAGATGGAGGAATCTGGAAAACATCATGCTGAGTGAATTAAGCCAGTCCCAAAGGGACAAATATCATATGTTCTCCCTGATTGGCGACAACTAACTGAGCACCAAAGGGGAAACTTGTTGAAGTGAAATGGACACTATGAGAAACAGTGACTTGATCAGCCCTTGTCCTGACGGTTGATGTACAATGTAATACTTTATCCATTTTAGTATTTTTTTTGTTCTAGTATCATTGGTATAACTCTGTAATTAACACACAATTATTCTTAGGTGTTTAAATTTTAACTGAAAAGTGATCCCTGTTAGGAATTTGGAAAACATTATGTTGAGTGAAATAAGCCAATCCCAAAGGGACAAATACCACTTGTTCTCCTTGATAGGTGACAACTAACTGAGCACCAATAAGGAAACCTGTTAAAGCGAAATGAACACTATGAGAAACGGTGACTTGATCAGCCCTCACCCTGACTGTTGATGAGCAGCTTAATATGTTATCCCTCTTAGTATTTTGTTTGTTTGTTCTACTTAATACTTTTGGTTGAATACTGTAATCAATACACAATTCTTCTTAAGTGCTGAAACTTAACTGAAAAGTGATCGCTGTTAAATATAAGAGTGGGAATAAGAGAGGGAAGAGATGTGCAATTTGGGACATGCTCAAGCTGACTTACCTCAAACGGTAGAGTTAGAAACATACCAGGGGATTCCAATTCAATCCCATCGAGGTGGCATGTACCAATGCCATCTCACTAGTCCCAGTGATCAATTTCTGTTCACAATTGATCATAATGATAGGACTAAGAACCAAAGGGATCACATAAACAAGACTAGTGTCTGCAAATACTAGCTGATAGAATCAAAAAGGGAGATAATGATCCAACATGGGAAGTGAGATACACAGCAGACCCATAGAATGGCAAATGTCCTAACAACATTCTGGCCTCATAATCAGCCCTAAAGGCATGCAGATCCGGCTGAAATGCCCATGAGAGTATTTCAGGCATGGAAAGCCAAGACACTCTGGGGGAAAAAAAAAAGACCTAAATGAAAGATCTCCATGAGTGAGATCCCAGTGGAAAGAATGGGTCATCAAAGAAGGAGGTACCTTTCTCTGAAGGGAGGAGAGAACTTCCACTTTGACCATGGCCTTGTCTAAATATGATCAGAGTCAGTGAACTCAGGGGGCTTCCATAGCCTTGGCAGCTCATGACAAGAGCCTAGGGTGATTACTGATGCCATAAACAAGAGTGTCAATTTGTTAAGTCAACAACAGGAGTCACTGTGCACTTACTCCTCATGTAGGATCTTTGTCCTTAGTGTGCTGTACATTGAGATTTAATGCTATAACTAGTACTCAAACAGTATTTTTCACTTTATGTTTCTGTGTGGGAGCAAACTGTTGAAATCTTTACTTAATGTATACTAAACTGATCTTCTGTATATAAAGAGAATCGAAATGAATCTTGATGTGAATGGAAGGGGAGAGGGAGTGGGAAAGGGGAGGGTTGCGGGTTGGAGGGACGTTATGGGGGGGGAAGCCATTGTTATCCATATTCTGTACTTTGGAAATTTATATTCATTAAATAAAACTTAAAAAATAAATAAATAATAAGAAACATGCCAGGGGATTCCAATTCAATCCCATCAAAGTGGCATGTACCAATGCCATCTCACTAGTTCAAGTGATCAATTTCAGTTCACAATTGATCATACTGATAGGTCTAAGAGTCAAAGGGATCACATAAACAAGACTAGTGTCTGCTAATACTAACTGATAGAATAAAAAAAGGGAGAGAATGATCCAAAAAAAAATTATGTTAATTAATTCCACGTATTTGTGAATTTTCCAAAATTCCTCTTGTTTTTTTTTTCCTAATTTAATGAGAGCACAGTCAGAAAAATTACTTGATATGACTTCCATCTTATTTAATTTGTTAAGACTTATTTTGTGTGTAACATGACCTGTCCTACAAATTGATCAAGTGAATTTGAGAATGCATATGCTGTTATTGGTGGATGGAGTCTTTTATACAAATAGAAAGTCCATTTGATCTAAAATGTAGTTCAAGCTTAACATAGTTCATATCTAATGATTTCTTATTCACTTTATGTCTGGATGATCTATTCAGTGTTGAAGTTTTCTACTTTTATTGTATTACATTCCATGGGTCTCTTCAAATCCATTAATATTTGCTTTATATATTTAGGTGCTCCGGCCAGCACCGCGCCTCACTTGGCTAATCCTCTGCCTGCAGCACCAGCACCCCAGGTTTTAGTCCTTGTTGGGGTGCCGGATTCTGTCCCGGTTGCTCCTCTTCCAGTCCAGCTCTCTGCTGTGGCCCGGGAAGGTAGTGGAGGATGGCCCAAGTGCTTGGGCCCTGCACCCGCATGGGAGACCAGGAGGAAGCACCTGGCTCCTGCTTTTGGATCTGCACAGTGTGCCGGCCATGGCAGCCATTTGGGGGGTGAGCCAACAGAAAAGGAAGACCTTTCTCTCTGTCTCTCTCTCTGTCTATCGCTGCCTATAAAAATTTTTAAAAAATATTTAGGTGCTCCAATATTGATGCATGTATATTTATAACCATTATGTTCTATTGATGAAGTGACCCCTTTATCATTATATAATGACCTTCTGTGTCCCTTTTTACAGCTTTCTCTTTGATGCAAATATAACTACTTCTGTTCTCTTTTGGCTTGTACTTGCATGAAATATCTTTTGTCATCTGCTATGGCTCAAATGTCTGTGTGCATTCAAAATTTATATGCTAAAATCAAACTTTGGTCGATTTTATTAACCAAATAATAATACTAATATATTGGAAATCTATCAAATCCTGTTACTGCAGCTTGCACTTTTACATTCAGATTTAAAAAAAAAAACTGAGAGCTGGGTATCATATTATTAAAATTCAAATATTATCTTTCATGAAGCTTCTTTTTGTGAAAATCACAACTTAATCCTAAACTTTAACTTCAAACACATTAAAATGGCATTACTAGCCCAAAATTCAGTATTCAAAATTTGGTCTACAATACTATAAAATATTTATGCTCCATAGGTAGAGGGTGTTTGGTGCAGCAATTAAGACGCCATTTGGGATGCTTTCATCCCCTATTGGAGGGCCTAAGTTCAAGTCCCAGTTCTGCTCCTGGATCTAGCTTCCTGCTAATGCACATCCTTGGAGACAGCAGGTGATGGTACACCTGCCGCTCACAATGGAGACTTAGACTGATCTCATCTCCTGGCTTCAGCCTGGTTCAGGCTGAGCTAATTGCATAATTGTGGGAATATAGCAGAGATGAAAAGTATCTCTCTCTGCCCATCTCTCTCTCTCTCTCTCTCTCTCTCTCTCTCTCTCTCTGTCTCTCCCCTTTCTATTGAACAAAATAAAATTTAAAATTTCACTGCATTCTACAAATATGAGAAAATAAACATAGGCATGTAAATCCCAATTTCAAAATAATTAAATCTCAGACACATTCATATGAAATTACTCTTTCTTCCCTGCTATCAAACTTAGGTGTAATTACATCCTATTAGTAGATCAGGGACAGTTATTTAAATACATATGTGAGCACTTGAATCATATTTCAAGGTTGGAAAGGACCTTGTTTCCTGTAGTTAAATAACTCATTGTTAGAGTGAAATCAAGGTACAAAAAATCATAATGGCTCATCCAAAGTAACATCATAAGTAAGAGGCAAATTGATCACCAGAAGTCAGGTTTTCTCAAACTTAATTACCCAATACATTTATCTGTGAATTTAAAAAAATGAATAAAATGGGCCGGCGCCTTGCAACGCTGGCACACCGGGTTCTAGTCCCGGTCAGGGCACCGGATTCTGTCCCAGTTGCCTCTCTTCCAGGCCAGCTCTCTGCTGTGGCCAGGGAGTGCAGTGGAGGATGGCCCAAGTCCTTGGGCCCTGCACCCTATGGGAGACCAGGATAAGTACCTGGCTCCTGCCATCGGATCAGCGCAGTGTGCCGGCTGCAGCGCGCTGGCCGCGGCGGCCATTGGAGGGTGAACCAATGGCAAAGGAAGACCTTTCTCTCTGTCTCTCTCTCTCTCTCACTGTCCACTCTGCCTGTCAAAAAAAAAAAATTAAAAAAAATGAATAAAATGTAGTACTTAAAATGCAGCTCTCTGGGCTCCATCACCAGAGATTCTAATTGAGTAGCACTAGAATGGTACCCAAGATTAACTGTTGGTGATGGTCTGAGAACTATATTTGAAGATATATTACTTAAATCCTTTATACTAAAAATAACATGTAAAATAATGTGATGGCCTCAAACACATAATTATTTTCCCCATTACTTCCAAGACATCCATGTGTTCACAGAAAAAGCACATTTAACAAAAGTCAAAGTCTACTGCTATCCAGACTTGACTTTGTTTATCACAAAAAGCCCTTGCAATGTGTTGGAAGTCTAAGCTTCTGATCATTCCTTCAAATCACAAGTGTACCAGTTAATATATTTCTAAGGCAAAAACAGGAATATTTAATTCCAAGAAATATCTGAAACTGAAAAATCTTGCAATCCTTAATATTTTTTCTAACAAATAAAATTCTTACTTTCTTATTGGATTTTGTTTAGTAATGTTTCACTTATTTATTCAATGAATGCTTACTGAATATCTACCAACCAGATTTTTAATTAACATCTGTCATATTATAAGGTCTTCAAACAAATTTGACAATTGAAAAATGATTCTGGGGGTTGTGGGGCTCAAGTGGGAAATTCCATTACCTTACACAGTACTATTTATGATTATAACAAAACACATGAAAATGTTTTATATCATTCCATAGAATTTTAATGTTTGTAAGTATTTTAATGGGATGAATTAAAGGGAATCTACATAGGCCCAGTAACAAAGCAGCAATTGGAATCATTATCAACTCAAATAGAAACCAAGCTTTGTAGGTTAAGATTTATTTTAAACTCAGTAATTCAAATCTTATTGTAGTCTGATATTTCACATTTAGCCATATATACTCCTTTAAGAGTCTTCTATGTGAAATTACAAGAAGTCTATATAGAGCTTAAACAAAGAAGGCTCTACATTTTAAGAAACTTTGAAGAAATGTGACATTAATGATGTACATAAACTGAGAATATAGAATTATCATAGAAAAATCAAAGACACCCTGAAAGACCCACCATTATGTTTTTGTGTAAGTATTAATACACCATCCTTTGAGATCATTTTGATTTATATGTTGATCATTTATCTTGTTCACAAAAGAATTTAATATAGTCATTTCAAATTCAGGTTTGCTTTCCAGATTTTTTCAAATGAAATAAGTAGTTGGATTTCCATCAGCAATGGTCAGTTGACAGACCAATTCTGTATATGGCTTCACTTTATTTTCTGAAGAGCATTGCAAAGGATTCCAACTTCACCTACAAAGAAAAAGAATGACCAAAATGAGCCTCTAATTAAAGGAACAAATGGCTTTTGCATTGAAAGCACTAGGGGATCTATGGGATGCACAGATAAGCTTAGTGTCATCCCAGTCTTCAGGGTGCTTAAATTTTAGTCATGACAATTGGAATTGGGCTTTTATGGTATACTTAGGTGTTGAGGAAGTGACAGAGCTAGGGAAGCAATTAATAGTTTCCCCCCAGGAAAATCACTAGCTGCATTTTTTTGCTTCATGTGACTGTTCATAGAGGCTTCAAGGAGTTAAGTCAACCTAAAAGTGTGGTTTACACAAACCTCCTATGTCAGAATCACCAGAGTTATTGTTACCAATATAAACCCCAAAAATTCAACAAAGATTTAGCCTGGGATTATGACTCAGGACTACTAGTTTTTAACTGGCCCTCCAAATGATCCTGACACATACTAAAATTTGAAACTACATGGCCTGCGAACATAACCTAGTCTAGATCATTAGACCACTGGTCTAATGTACAATGCAGCTACTTCTATTTATGCCATGCTCTCACAAGCCCATGGACCACAGGGATAGAGACTATTCAAAGGGCTGGAAGGAGCCTTAGAGATGGGCAAGCCTCCCTCCTTCCTAGATCTTGAGAAGACATAGGTGAAGAGGGACAATGAGGTCTTACATAAGGACACGTATCTCTTAAGAATCTTTCAGTTTCTAAATTTGTTATTCTGTGCTTTTAAAACCTCCTTTACAGGCAATAGCTTATGGAGATTTTGTTGTCTTTTCAGAGGAAATGAGAAACAGAGAGAAAATGGTTATGATCTGACCCCTGTGTCTTTCATCCCAGCCTCTAGGGCACCTGGTTGACTTCTTCAGAGAACAAATCTCCACTTGAGTATCCAGCCTTGTGCTTTTCCAAAAAGATGATTACAGGTAGCCATAAAAAATGGGGAATGACTGTAATAGCCAGGGCTGACTATGGCTTTCGGCAGTATCAGAGGCCTATTAAAGGAAATTCAAGCCCACTTTACCTTTTAGACTTTGGTGCCACTATATAACACAAGGACTTCCAAATCTTGCCTAGAATTCCTCCCTCTGGCTATACTTTTGTTAGTTCCATCTACCTGTTCTATAGCTCTTAAATCCCTTCTACAGTTTTTAGGAACATGGATGGATGCTGGGTGTTTGATAGTGAACCTGACATGACTCTCTGCTCAGGTCTACTTATGGAGACAGATAAGCAAATAACTACAAAACAGTCTAATGATAACTCCTCTGAGAGAGGTATCTACCGGAATGCAAAGACGTAGTACGTCTTCCTACAAAAGGAGATATCTATGCAACACTTAAAATATGAACTGGAGGTGGACATCTCTAAACAGGAGTGGAAAGGGGAGTATTTTCAACATAAAGAACTACAATGGCAAAGGCCAGGAGAGAGTATGGGAATTACATGGTGAACAATATTGCTGAATGGAATACAAAGGGCAACAGAAAGAATCAGGTGATGAATAAGATAACCCTAAATTCTAAAGACAACTATTACAATATCCTTATTACCGAAGATCATTAAATTAGCTACTGGATGGCTGATAAAATAGACAGGTCCTTGCTATTAAGGGATGAGATTCCAGGCACAATAGTGTCAGCAGGACTTGTATGTAGAGTAGAAGGAAGGGATGGAGAAGCAAAGGACAGAGAGCACATGGCAGTGGCAGGCCAGGTGTTGAAGGTGGTATGACAGTAGGGGTTGGGTAGAATCTAGGAAGGTCAAAGGAGAAAGAACACCCAAGGCAATTCTGGCCTTTTGGCCAAGTTTTTCTTCCTCAATGACCCATGGCTTACATGGAGATACTTTTCTGCTTAACTCAATATTTAATAAATTTCTCATTGTTCAAATAGTGAACATAAGAAAACAAAACACTTTGTTTCTGGGTAAGAGAACAGCCTCATAGGCTATAAAGTGACTTACTGTTTATGGAGTCAGCCAAAATCTTAAGCTGCTGGGTATTATCCAAGATCTCAATCCTTTGAGTGTATGGGTCATAACGAACTGAGAAGGGTCGAGGAATTGTGGCAGCGAAGTTCCTGAAACCAAAACCCCAGGCTGGAGTGAAGAATGAATTGCACATAAAAGTACTTAGAACAGTGTTCAGTGTACAACAGTTGCTAAACATGAACTATCCATTACGATTAATAGTAATAATTAATTACCTGGGTGGGGTAATGCACTACTCTACCAAAAATCACATAGCTGAAGAGGACCCTAGGATGGCACAATGGAGCCTTTGTAGCTGAAGGGAGGCAGGCTACTTGAATGGGTAGAATTTAGGAGAGAACTAGAGAACAGGGCAAGAAGGACTGAGTGTCCTGGACAGAGCGGGGGAAAAGGGAGTCACTTTGAGCCTAACAAAGCACACTTGTGGAACATCATTTTACCTTTAATTACCTAAGCCCAGTGTATTGAAAGCTAGCATGATCCACTTCATAAGATCCCAAAGGGCTGTATGCCATGTCTACAGTCCACCATTGACAAGCGTTTTTCAAAAATGGTAACAATAATGAGTATCAGGATATCCATGTCCAGGCTGACCTGGCTTGTCTCCTGCTTGTATAAAGATCTGGTTGAAGGTTGTTCAAATAGATCATAGACACAATTTTCAGCTCAGGAGGCCAAGAGTCTCAGAGTCCTGGTACCATTCCATCAGGCTCTTGTGAAATGCCTCTGAGGTTGATGCCTTTACCAATTACTTTTTGAGTATTTACTCTATCAGGAATTGATCTAAGGGATGGGTGAAGAGCAGAAAACATAAAAGCCCTCATACAGTCTAAAGTGCATACTACATTAGAAGTTAATATGTGCTAAGGAGGAAAAATAAATTGCGGAGATGGGTAGATTTAACATTAGTTGGATAGATACACACACACACACACATACACACACACATGTAGATTTACAGAAAAATGAAGTGAGAAAAATTCTCGAGGTTGGAAGATGTCTCTGATTTGGTTGAGGGAACTTTCATAGCCACTCACAAGAGGGTTTAGTAACTGCACATGGTGTCCACATGGAACATGGGCCAAGAATCAGGGTTGTTTGCAGAGACTGGCATGTCCAGACTCTCAACAGGGTAGAAGAGAATGAGGGTAGAGAAGATGGTGAGACAAGCTCTCTGCTGCACAAACTCGCTGTTGTGTAATCTCTGGACCAACCAACCAGAGATCAATGCCATCAACCTGCATCAGGAGACTGCAGGGCTAATGATCCACCTTGGTCACCACCTCACCTCACTTTCTCCTTGGCATCCATAAAACTCTCAGCCACATAATATAGGGGTTGGAATTCTGTGACAGGGTACTCCTGGATGGCTGTCTTCTCCAGTTCCAGGGGGAGCAGCTTCGGCTTGCCTGATAAGCAGTACTGTAGGCACCAAGTGAACAGTTTTCACTGTTAAAGCAGGATAGGTGGTCCCAGTTGCAACCCATTGATCATCTGTGCACCTTCATTCATCTCAACCTGATTTTTCCCACATCCCAGCCCAAATGCAATGCACAAAGTTATTTTACATATAGCAATTATACCTTTCATTGATTATCTAAAGCCCACAGACAAAATAAGGAGTAATTCATTCCAGTCTCTTCCAAGTAAGGTGATAAGTAGATGATGTGGGGGCCAACCACATTCTCTGGAATGTGTTTTCATCATATGAAGTCATGTGCACGGTCCAAGCATGGGGCCAGGAGGTTTCTCCTTAGAAACCTAGGTAGTTCACTCACTATCACTAACATCTGCAGCTATGATCAAATTATGGTACTAAGGTACCAATAACTGGAGGATGAGCTCCCAGCTTGCATCTCAAAATAGATGTCAATGAGATTTCAACTTTACCCAGAGAATAAGAATAAGAAATTCATCCTTTGTTCCTGTTGGGTCATACCTGTAGTTCACCGAAGGATGACAGGAGCCCAGCACCATATGCCTTTATAGAATCTCCTTGTTTGCAGAGTCCAAACTCCACAGTAAACCAGTAGATCTGGAATGGAAAGTAAATCTGAGAGCATGTTCCAAGGAAAGGAAAGGCAGCAGACGCCCCAGAGTCAAGGACAAGATGGCCAAAGTGAGTGTCTGTGCAGGTCTGTTATCTGAATTAGTGTGAACTGGGACTATCTCTCCATGTTCTGGGTCACACTTTATCCTTTAGCCTGTTGAATCCCCATTCCCTCCTTCCCTCCCTCCTCTCTTCCTCTCCCTCTCTCTCCATCAACCTTACTCTCCATCTCTATCTTTATGTCTTTCTATCTCTGCCTTTAAAGTAAAAAAGGTAATAAATAAACAAAATACATTTCTAAAGAAATTTGTCTTTGTAGCTGGAGATTGTGCTGAAATTGGAAAGGAGGGTAAAAAAGGTAAACCATGTACTATGTAGAGTTGATACTTCAATGGCTGTCATAAGAATCACTTGTAAGAGGGAGGTGTGTAGTAAGGAGAAAGATAGCCCTTATTTTCACTATGTGGCCAAGAAAGGAAAAATCTCATTCCCTCCCATGAAAAGTTGGAGTTGTAAATATTCCCTTCTCAAGGCTGTAAATTCAGAATAATTTAATACACCATATTTTGCCCAAGGACTCTGAGGGTTATTATAATAGACTGCTAGTGTTTTCAAGATACTATGTTTAGGGGCCGGCGCGGTGGCACAGCAGGTTAACGCCCTTGCCTGAAGCGCCGGCATCCCATATGGGCACCGGTTCTGGTCCCGGCTGCTCCTCTTCTGATCCAGCTCTTTGCTGTGCCCTGGGATAGCAGTGGAGGATGACCCAAGTCCGTGAGCCCCTGCACCCACGTGGGAGGCCCAGAAGAAGTTCCTGGCTCTTGGCTTCGGATCGGCGCAGCTCCGGCCATCGCAGCCATCTGGGGAATGAACCAGCGGATGGAAGACCTCTCTCTCTCTCTGCCTCTCATTCTCTCTCTGTGTAACTCTGACTTTCAAGTAAAATAAATAAATCTTTTTAAAAAGATACTATGTTTAAAGTTATGTTTAAACATTTGCATGCAGCTGATTTCAAAATCCAACCATTAAGGAGAAATCAAAATGTGAAGTTCCAGTTGTGCAAATGTAACCTACCATAATCTGATTTTTTCCTCCCAATCACCTGGCTTCCATGGGAAGTACAAAGTTTCAAAGATTTAAAGAATATGGCCAAGAGCACTTCCACCACCCACCCAGGGAGTGAATAAACTTACTGTGGCAAGTTTCTCAATGTATTCATCAGGTGCACCCAGAGAGGCAAGGCCGATTTCCTGCAATTGTGGAGAAATAGTCACTAACACAGTGCAGGCATATCCATCTTCAAACTTTACTCTTGGTACCAACCCGGCACTTGACTATATGACTATAGGATGGTGTTTTGTGGCCATATGCCTGAAGAGGGAGCAGAAACACCCTAATAGTCCTGTCAAGTCTTCCCTGGCCACCTATCACAGAGTCACAAGTACAGGAAAACCCTTTCACCATCACTTGGTCATTTGTGTTCAATTTAAAAATGAGTAAACTGAGGCACAGAGAAAGCGCATGGCCACATAGTGAGTTGTTGTCTAAAACTTCATCTTTTGACTTGAGCTCGGTGCTCCCCCGCAGCACAAGTGGAACATTCCCAAAGTATCCAGATGACTTTTCATCATGTAACATGACAACAGCACAGGAGGACTGCAAATATGTGATTGATGTCTGTCCGGATATGAACAAAGTTAGAGTCTGATATGTTGTGGTTCACTTCTCATCACAGCTCCATTCCAGAATTCTTCTAGTGGTCTCTCTCTTGAACAGCATTTGTTCCAGCCTGCCATGTGTGTGTGTGCACGTATGTGTATGTTTGTGTATTGTAACTCTCCTAATGCATGTGTTCATTGAAAAGTATTTATTGAGTGACACCCATATGACTGACAGTGTGCAAAATCCATACAGACCGTTGATCTTGTGCTTTTTAGTGGAGACAGACAGTACAAAATAAACATACACTCAGGAACGTGAGAAGGTAATAGGTTCTTTGGAAAGATAAAATAATAAAAGAAAGGGACAAGGGGAGTCACAAGTTCCAAAATATCAGGCTCAGGCTGACATTTTATATAGGGCCCCAAGGTAAGCATCAGTGAGAAGATGAGCGTCAAAGGGTGAATACTTGGCAGAAAATGAGGTTTGTTTGTCTGCTGACATCTGAGGGAAGCCTACTGTAAGCCAGTACCAAACCTACCTAAAGAAGGAAAATGTTCAAGGAACGTGGAAAGATAGTGTGGCTTGGACAGAGTAAGTGAGGTGGCAGTGGTAGGTGATGACCAAGAGGGATACAGAGCCAGATAGTGGAAGGCTCGGGCTTTACTTTCCAACGAGATGGGGACCCATTGCAGGATTTTGAGCAGAGAGGTAGACATGATTTGACTTGCATCATCAAAGATTTACTCTGAACACTGTGTGAGAGCAAACCCCACGGAGTCAAAGCCAGAGGCACAACACTACTGAGGATGTGGCTGCAGTCACCAGGGTGGGAAACAGCAGTGACTGAGACAAGATTAATTGCAGTGGATGTGATATGAAATGGTCACGTATTTTGACTGTAGAGCACAGAGAATTTTCTGATTGTAGAGTAAGAGAGAGAAGTGTCAATAATATCTCCAAATTACTGGAAGGATGGGGTTGCCATGGACTGATATGGAGAGGTCTCTGGGGAAAGAAGGTTTGAGTGAGAAGATCCAGAATTAAGTTGAGGGCAGGATGATAGCAAAGTCCAGTGGGCATCTAAGTAGAAACATTAAATAGATAGTTGGGTAGATATTCAAGTCTGTATTTTGAGGTTAAAGTTAGAGATGAAGAAATGAATGTGATCAAGAGAGTAGAGATGGTACTTAAAGCCATGAGATCGGGTGATATCACTGAAGGAATGAGTGCAGACAGAGAGGAGCATGGACACTTGGACTCTCGTTGAAGCATGAGACTCATGGTTGCATCTCTGAATCCCTCCCTGTGCCTGGCCCAGATTATGCATAAAAAATGCCATCTGGGACTGGTGTTGTGGTACGAGTTAAACAGCCACTTGCAATGCCAGCATTACATGTGGGAGTGCTGGTTCGAGTCCCAGCTGATCTGCTTCTGATCCAGTTTCCCGAAGATGTGCCTGGGAAGGCAGTAGAGGATGCTGCAAGAACTTGCATTCCTGCCACCCACATGTGAGACCATGATGGAGTTCCTGGCTCCTGGCTGCAGCCTGACCCATGCCTGGCAGTTGCAGCCATTTGGAACATGAATCAGTAGATGAAAGATCTCTCTCTCTCTCTCTCTCTCTCTCTCTCTTTCTCTCTTTCTCTTTCTCTCTTTCTCTTCCTCTTTCCTCTTTCAAATAAATAAATAAATAAATGTTTTTAAAAATAATAGATCTTATTTAAAAAGCCACCTGATTTAGAGTAAACCAAGTTCAGACCAATTCTTAGCTTGACTCACTTTTGTCCTTATCTCATCTCTACTCCATCCAGCAGTCCAAACCTGCCACAGTCCTGGGTTTAACCAAAATAATTAATAAACTCAAAATGGTGCCCTGTTACTTTAGTTGCCATTATTTGTGAATTAAGAGCTTGCCAAAGCAAGGGGTTCCAATATTTACAATAATTCCCCAGACTCTGTTCTATCCCATCATGCACTTCAGTGGCATGCAAGTCCTGCATCTAGAACAAAAAGGACCATCATTCCAAAATGACTCACTGACTTGGGCTATCACATTAAAGTTGGAACTATGTGATATTGATGGTCTTATATCTCCTCCCTGTTGACCTGAACAATTGTACATTTCATTTTAGAGTTTCTAAATGGTAAATGGCTTAAGGAGGATTGCCACATAGCCACTGACTGTGCAGAGTAACTTCTTATTGTTAGCATAAAAAGTTCCTATTCTCTGAAGAGAAAGCTGATCATTCTTTGACCACAATAACAAGTCCCATGTTTAAGTGTCCCAAACAGTCCACAACAGCTTGGCAGCAGTAATAACATTTCTGAAGGCTAACAGTGATACTTTCACAGTTAAAAGTTCAACCAATCCCTAAACACTATCATTTCTACCAATCTAGCAGTCTCTGAACCCCATAATTCCCAAAGCTTCACATAAAGTTTGCTTAGAGAGGACACATTTCACAAGTACAGTTCTCCCTTACTTAACAAGCAATAGGTCTCACTTTATGTTTGATTGTTTCAAATACCAAGTGGTAGCCTCTTTAACAGTATAAATACTTATTTACTGCAACTGAGGGAAATGTTTCTAATATTCACAAGCAATCCCATTACTCTGACATTCAGGGTTGACCCAGCATTTGCTCATAGGCCATTCCATTTGATCTTATTTCATTTGATCCTGAGTCACATCTTTGGAAACTGAGGTAGAGGGTGTTCTGGTAACTTGCTCCAGATTACACAGCTGGTCAGTGGCAGGGTAGGGCTGTATCACCGCTGCCACTTCAATCTTCCCAGGATACCAGGTACTCAGCTATGGTTTTAGGATTCTTCTTAGTCACTAGAGAGAATTTGCAAAATTATTTTACTCACCACGAAGCAATTTTTTTTTTTGTTTTGCCCTTGCTCACCACTGTGAAAGATGAACCAGGAGCTAGGTTGCTGCTTTGATGATGGTGTTAAAACATTTGATCCCTTCTGTTTGTTTATCAACCGTTACTATTGGTACTGGATAATTGGCAAATAGAATCTTATGTAATTCAATCATACACACAAATGAATTCCTGATAAAGTAAAAAGAGGAAAAGGCTCTGAAGATGGGCGAGTGGAAGTAATAAGAGAATTTAGAAGGTGAGGTGACTTCTGCCCAGAACCAGAGACTTTTGTGGATGAAAAGACTTAAATTATCCCTGAGAGGACAAAGGAGATTACAAATTCAGCATCACACATATGATTCAGAAGATGAGTCATCATCCAACCCTATGCTGTGGTTCCTGGAATGGATATTTAACTAGCTACATAGGACCACACACCTTTCTTGGGTGGCATTATAGAACTGCAAATGGTTTCTACTCTTGTAGAGTCCCAGGGTCTCTTCCTGAGTTAAACTCATTTGAGCAATCCAGCTCCCAGACCTTTAACCAGAAAGCTAAAGAGATGTATACCTTACCTGGGAAAACTGGGCAAAGCTCCGATCTGAAAACAAAGGCACATGTCCCAGTAGCTCATGGCAGATGTCTCTGGAAGACAGAAATCGTGGACCTTTGTGGGGAGGAGGGTTTAGCCAAACTAGCAGTGTTTAAACAAAAGGAATGAGTAGAAAGAAGGAAAGCAACTCATTTAGGCTTATGACTTAACTTCCCAAAATGAATGATATACTGAGCTTGCTGTCAGGTGAAAAAAAAAAAAGACATAAGAGAAAGGAAGAAGAGGGAGAAGTGGAAAGAAAAGCAAAGAGGAGGCACTAGGAAGAGTACACCAGTCACAGACGGGTCTTAGAGGTATGACCAGTGTGTTCAGGACAGGACAGGTGAGCCAGTATCTGTAGGAGCATCCTCTCTAACGCCTAAGTGAGCTGTGTGTCATGAATACTTCCACCCGAAGTCCTCATCTTGGTATTTGTTTCCCTAGGCAGACACAATATGCTGAGTTATTCCCAGTGGCAACCTAAAAAGAAAACTGCTGTACCCTTAATCTGGAAGAGCACAGCAAGCAGAGAAGAAAAGCGACCTTTGTTTGATACTGCAAGTGCCAAATCCATTAGGAGCAGGCCTATTCTGATTTGTAGCAATGAACTTTGTGGGTGAGAAGAATAATTTGGGGCATCCTATTTTTTCCATAATTGTATTCATTTTGACCAAGATGTTGACTAAGGAGAAGTCTAGTAGTCAGCCACTCTACCTCTAGGCCAAGAAAGGTTAGAATCAGGTAGATGTACCTTTAGGTGTTGGGATAGCTTGGTTGCCTCTTATTCCTGTTCCCATATGGAACTTCACAGCTCTGACTTTGGAGCTTAAATGGGACCTCTTACTCCCATGGGCTGGGGAGGTCTGAACGTCCCACAAGTGCAGTCTATTTGGACAGAGGAAATGTCCAGAATAGATGGGTTTCTTTGTTAGTATGACCATCAAAGAATCCCAGCGACTAGTCCTGCAATGAACCCAAATTCCTGGAGCAGCAAGAGGGAGCTCACCAGGCAACTGGTAGCAGAGAGCATTACTCACGGTTCAGGTGTGAACATGGGCTTGGACCCATGTCTGATGTACTGTGTGCAGTGGAAGACTCGGAAGGCCAGGCCACCTAAGAAATCCCGAGAGGAAAGCAGGCCAGCCACCGGTCGGAGGCGGAAACCAGTGCATGCTGGGAAGCAAAGAAAAAAAAAAGATAACTTAAAGCCCATCGCAATGGAGCCAGAGGGCCTGAAACACAGAAATGGCTCTCACATGTGCAACTTCCTAGAAGCATGGGCCCTGATGCCAAAGAGACTTTACTTCAAATCTCTGTCCCACTGCCTTCTAGACAGGTGATTTGCATCACACACACACACACACACACACACACACACACACTTGAGCTTAGTTTCCTCATGTAAAAAACATAAATACAAACTTCTTGGGAATGTTCCTGGGATCAAAAGTGCTAATGACTATGAAATAACTTAGCCCAAAGTCTAGCACATCAGAAACACCCCAAAATCCTAGCTTTCATTAGTGTTTGTTAAGGCTAAACATGCATTCAGTACTTCTTGGATTTCCAGAATGTGAAGCCAACTTTCACTCTGCTTCCCAGGGGGCAAGAATGTGGAAGGAGGACTCCCAGAATTCTGTACTGCGCCTCACACTCCCACCCCATAAGGAGAAGTGACTTCTCTGACTGGAGAACTGAGGAAGAGGAAATGAATATTCTTCACGTAACCCTTTCTGTATGTTCTTTCCCTCTTGACTATCCACAGAAGAGCACATTCTGGTGTGCTCTTCGCCATGGTAGTGGGCCATTCATTGTGAATTAGCAGGAAACAAAGGGGATAAAATACTAGAAGCCCATTTTGGCTATACATCTATATCACATTCTTCAAATAGCTTTCTGTGGACCTTTTCTTGTTCCTGTATCTGCTTTCTCTGGTTTCTGTATCTTTCTGTCAATTTGTTCCAAATTTGGAAGAAGGATGACAGTGGTCATGATGATATATGATAGTCATAGCTAACATTATATATTACCTACCATATGTCAAACAACTGTTCTGAGCACTTTGCATACACCAACCCTCTCAATAAGCCTATGAGGCAGACAATCCTATGAGCCTCACTTTACACTTGGGAAAGCTGAGACACAGAGAGGAAACAAGGAAACAAGCCACAGGTGGTCAGGTTTCCGAGTCTGTTCTCTTAATTACAGTTATGTAACTCTCCAACTGCTAGTGTTACTAACTTGTGGTGACCTGGATGATTAGGGGAAAATATGTTTAGGATTCCTTTGTTTCTCTCTCATATTCTCTGTATTTCCAGGCTGGAGCTAACTCTGTGTGGATTCTCATTCCTTGCCTTAGCTTAGAAGATTCTTTAAATGGATAAGGGACACAAAGTCATCTAGCCTATTATCAACTCATCCTTCTACAATTTCCCTCCAGATATGTAATTCACTGGCTCCTTACTCCAGCTACCTACCTCTGCACAATTCTAATGCATAGGAAATTCTTCATTTCTGACACCTGTTCTACGTCACCCTACCTTTCCTCACGCTACATGGCATGTAGTAGATGGCTGACTGTTTTGTTTCAGTTTTGCTGAATTGCTGCCTTCCTGGTGGAAAGAACACCTATCTTCCCTGGAAGTTCTGTAGTAAAGCTACAACCTAGATACCATATTCACCCCACTGAGTTACTCAGATTCTAACTCAGGCAGACTTCACTGAGTACCTGCTACATGTGCAGCACTGTGCTATTTGCCATAATATGCAATATCCCATTGCATCCTCACTATCGGCCTGTGAGAAAAGTTGAACAGCTGATACAGCCTCCACTTGACAGGTAAGAAAATTGAGACAGGTTCACCCAGGCAGAGAGGATGCAAGGCAAGATTCCTACCAGATGCACAGACTCAGAGCTCAGAGATCTTGGCACTTCCCCACAAATGGTGCATTTCTGTAAGAGCACTTACAGATATGTGCATTCTGGCTACAGCCATCTCTTAACACAACAGGAGTTGCAAGGAGAGCTCTGACCAGGCATACCCAGGGCTTAGAGTAGTAAAGAAAATACTTTTCAGGGGCCTGGAATGGCAAACTCATTCCTATTTGCTTGGATGGAAGTAGATTGACAGCAGAGACCAGAGGGAAGGCAGACCACGGTACGATTCAGCTCTTCCTGCGAGAATCAAGCAGGGTGCCTTACCCCAAGCACACTCACCCTCACCTCTTTGTATTTGTCCTCCCTTCGCCTTTCCACCCCCACTCCCTGCTGGGCCTTTGAACCTGATGTGGACTTACTCTGCAGGAACTGAGAAACATCTTCCAGCTGGGGAATGTTATCTTCACGGAAGCCACAGTACTTTTCCAGAAGTGGAAAAATGTGGTTGTATTCGTAGCAAGCATGGGTTTTGTACAAGGACTTCAGGGTCTTGAACACCGTGCCCCATGTCTTCTTCTCTTCCTCCGTGTATTCCACTCGAGGAATAGGCTGCCCACTAGAACACAAGCACGAAAAAAATTCTGTGCTTCCAGCAGGGCAAGGTGAGGGCTGAAAGCGCAAGTGAGGGTTAAGCAGAAATAGGTTTGGTATCTGTGAGCTGCCACCACTGACTCTGGTGGGTTTCATATCTTATCTGAAAGAGGAAAATTCTACCCTTTAATATAGGAAACATTGCCGCTTGGGCTTCTCACATGAAACAGTGATTTGGTTCAGCAAGGGAATAAGCACTCACCTCATCAGTTACACTGCAGATTTTGAGAAATGACTGGGCTTTTCTGCTCTTCTAACTCTCCAATTGTTTGCCCAGGTGGAAATTCACTTACCTTCAAGGGCCGGGCAGAAAATAAACATAATGGTGTAAAACAACCAATAAAGACAGGGGGGACTCTGCCAACTGAAGATTACATCCTCTAAGCTCAGACATCTAAATTCAGATAAAGCAACTGCAGTGCCTTGTATTATGTCAACTTAAGTAATTATAGTTGCAGATTAAACTGTATTGGACAGGTGGACTATGGGTTCAAGATATCCTGTTCTATCTAGATTTTATATTTTTTGTTCCTGGAAAACTATAAAGGTATTTAAATACATGTCATAAATATATACAAATTTTATCAATTAAAAAATAAAGAATGCTGGGGCCGGCACCGTGGCTCACTTGGTTAATCCTCCACCTGTGGCGCTGGCATCCCATATGGGTGCCGGCTTGTAGTCCCAGCTGCTGCTCTTCCAGTCCAGCTCTCTGCTGTGGCCCAGGAGGGCAGTGGATGGTCCCTGCACCCACATGGGAGACCAGGAAGAAGCACCTGGCTCCTGGCTTCGGATCAGTGCAGCGCTGGCCGTAGTGGCCATTTGGGGAGTGAACCAATGGAAGGAAGACCTTTCTCTCTCTCTCTCTCTCTCTCTCTCTCTCTCTATCACTGTCAAATTAAAATCAAACTCTACCTGTCAAATTAAAAAAAAATAAATAATGCTAAATCAAGCATAAATAAATGAATATTGGAACAAAGGGGGATGAACAAATGAATAAATAAATTGGTGCTAAGATAGAAGACACTCTTGCCTACACTTCTACATATGCTGGATCCTGCCCTAGAGGTCCTGAGTGTGTTGGAGAAGAGAAGACTCAGGCATCTGGGGCTTCGGAAGCTTCCCAGGTGACAGATGCAAAGTACTGTTTACAAGTCATTGGAAAGGTCCAGAGCAGTGTTCTGAATAGTGAAAGCCAATGAACACCAAAGCCTGACCTTGAAGCCCAGCGACTGCTCCCTGGGCTGCAGGCCTGTTTCCCTTACAGGGGACAGCAAGTCTAGGACAAAGTGAAACTGTTTATCACGGAGTTACAGAGTAGCATCAGGCTGCGAACCAGTTTCCTCCTGTCCTTTCAGAGCTGTAACTCCTCCAAGTTCATGGTCGCAGTCACTGCTGTTTTCTACAGAGAGGTGGGGAGGAATTAGGGAAAGAAGACAGATTTTTTTTTTTTTTGACAGGCAGAGTTAGACAGTGAGAGAGAGAGAGAGACAGAGAGAAAGGTCTTCCTTTTTTCTGTTGGTTCACCCCCCAAGTGGCCGCTATGGCCAGTGCGCTGCGCTGATCTGAAGCCAGGAGCAGGTGCTTTCTCCTGGTCTCCCATGCGGGTGCAGGACCCAAGCACTTGGGCCATCCTCGACTGCACTCCCAGGCCACAGCAGAGAGCTAGACTGGAAGAGGAGCAACTGGGACAGAATCCAGCGCCCTAACCGGGACTAGAACCCGGTGTGCCAGCGCTGCAGGCGGAGGATTAGCCAAGTGAGCCATGGCGCTGGCGGATAGATTTTTGCTTGAGACTGGAAAGCAAGACAAGCTCAGGGGCACTGGGAATGGTGAAAGACTAACAGGCAAGGCCCTGCCTGAGTGGGTACTAGAGTCTGGAAACTAAGACAACGTCAGTACTCAGCCTGCCATGTCCTAGATGTATGGCCTCAACCCTTTCAGTGAACCACTCAGAGCTTCAGTGCGTGCAGCTCTTACAAGAGCTAATAATACCTAACTTAGCAGGGCATAGGTAAAATTAAAATAAATATGACTGGTCTTCAAAAAATTCACAGAAATATGAATTTCTCATTCACCTCATCAGTGAGTGAGAAAACATGGATTTGATTTATTTTGTCAAAATAAACTCATTTTTTAATTCCATATTACCTCAAACTTTTTGAGGCACTCTTGCACCACGGATAAAGTACCTACCAGTGGTACTGACAAGTAATAATCGTTGTAAAATTGGTCATTATCAGCATAACTGATTCTCAATGTAAAGGAAACCATCTGCTATTTCTGCAACAAATTTCAAGAGATGGCAACATCTGGGTTCCAAGATGTGACCCCAGTTAACATTGGCTGTTCCAGGTCCCACTCTCTGTTCCTCATTCTTCCAGTAAAGCATCCTCCTCCCTTCTTAGTCAGAGACAGTCAGATGAAAGGAAGCTCCACCCCTTTCTTCAGAGCTGGTATATGACCAGACCTAGCCAATGAGGATGTCTCATTTTCCCTAACCACAGTGACTGGCTGAGAGATTGACCCATGTCCTTATTCAGAACTAGTGAGATTCAATTACAAACCCTGGCTAACTTTATTGTAAAGAGATAGAACCTCTGATCTGGTGGCGGTATCAGCTTGGAGTCCCTGGGGTCCATTTCCACTGGAGATGAGACCGATGCCTGGGGGCAGGGTCAAAGCCCAGGACTTAATCATCAGATGGAGAGAATGAGACACTGAGTCCTGGGCCTTCCTGTGCCCTCCAGCCCTTAGCCTAGAGCTAAACAAATGAGTTTAAAATCAGATTATGTCACCTTCTACCCATTACATGACCGACCGTGACAAGTTAATGAATCTCTTTCAGCTTTGCCATCCCCATCTGAACAATAAGGAGTGAGATCATGAAGACAAAAGGAAGTAATATACAGACAGAATCTAGCCAAGCCCCAGACACACAGCAAGCAGATAAAGAATGCGTTCCTTGTTAGAGAAGACTCTGTCTGTATTCTTACCTGACACTGACCTGATGGTGTCCACCTGACCACGCTGGGGTAGAGGAGAGGATTCAGGGTTGATTCCTCCTCCGCCTGAGCCAAGGCTCAGATGAGCCTAGATCTCACCACGGGCAGCATGGTTCTGGATCCTTCCATTGGCAGAAGTCATCCAGAGAAGGATATTCTGCATTTTGCAGGTAACTTTGTACACAAAGCCCCATCATCTCCTCTGTCTCCCTGATATTCTACCAGAGCAGTTGAAGTGCTACAACCTCAGTGTTCTGGATGAACTCTCTCTTCTTGTGCATGTCTTTTATTTTCCCTTAACTCAGGAATGGCACTGTCCACCAAACACTAAAGTATCCTACGGCAGCATTGTGTAGTTTCTGAGGACTCAAAACAACAAACCAATTCCTTTCCCAAACAGCATGTTTCATATTTGCATTTTCTTTTGGCTAACATAGGGGAGGGGAGGAACATGAAATCCCAGACAGAAAATAACAATGCCAGCCTAAAATTGCCCTTCACAGCTGGGTCAGACCAGATAAAAGTAGACCACTGAAGCTTGGCTGGCCTGAAATCTCAAATGGTTCATTATTGCAGTAAAGGAGCCAGCTCCTTCTTGAATGTAAATGATTCCCTTTTTTCTTTGCTCCCTGTTTAATGTGGAGAAGACCCGAAGCCGCTTTATTCAGGAATGAGGCCTTTTATAATTACTTCAGACATTGCATAATTAGACAACAAAACTAGGGAGAGAGCTGGGCCTCTGCACAGTGGGTAATTTTGTTTGGTGTAGCGGCAAGTATTCTTTTAACATGTGCTGTTAATGGGAGAGTTTAGCCACACACACACACATGCGTGTACCACACACATCCAAGCATACAGAAAATAGAACTCTTTCTGTGTTAGGATTTTCCAACCTAGGTCAAAGGAGGGTAGGCTCTCTCCACCAGAAGAGGCGCACTTACTGGCGGTAATTGTAGGCAATGTCAGCAAACTGCTTCCGTCTGGCTCGGTACACAGGATCTTTAAAACCCTAGAAGAGAGGAGACTTTTGAGTCTTGGCCACTCTATGTATGCCATCAATGAAGTTTCAAGCTGTGACAGTATGTGCATCCTTCTGCTGATTCTACCCTAAAAACTGTTTTAGTGAAACTTAGGGTAAGCTGTCCCACAACATGGTGTGAGTGACACATTATTGTGACAACTTCAGTTCAGGTCAAGCCTCCCTGCCAGTGGATTCCAACATGAAGACGAGATACAGCTGTACTCTGGTCTGAAGGAAATCTCATCTACTGCATGTCTAACATATAAGCCTGCTACATTGGGCAATGTTAGTAAAGAGATGCCTATTATGAAAATATATAACGTCCACTTAATTCCCAGCCAAAATAGCAGGTCAACAGCTCTGCCCCTTACCTTCATGATAAACAAATAGGTACACTGACATATTACAAATTTTTAAAATATCATTTATTGAGTGCCAGTTATGAGACATGTTAAAAGTTCATAGGAAATGTGCATCATTCCTTAATTCCATTTTCTCACAGACTTTTCCAAGTACCCTCAAGCATTCTGGGCACTTAATATTTTTATAATGCTCACCACAAACTTGCAAGGTAGAGCAGCATGATTATCTCCTTCTTTGCAAAATAAACAAGTTTCTCAGCGAAGCGGACTCGTGGTGAAGGTGAAGCCAGGATTTGGATCACCCAGTTCCCTGCTCTTTTCACTACACCTCAATAATTGTCAACTTTTACAACCTGGCAGAGACTCCACTCACTGAGAACTCCGTCTTGGGACATAAAAAGGATGATGGCGATTTCTTCTCTGGGCTGACCTGCAGGCAGCTCTTTTCCAACAATTGTAGGCAACCCATTTCGAAGTAAAAAGAGGTCAAGTTTGTGTTTTAGTGCTGAGTGTGGGACACATCCTTGAGTAGGAAATGATTCCATTGATTCAAAGAGTGTTTTCCAAAAATGTTGTGATCTGAGTCTTGGTGAGACAAGAGATTGCTATTATACCTGTCGACCCTGCTTCCACCAAAATTTCCCAAGTAGCTGTGCCATCTACCACTTTAGCATGCAATTTCTCTGCACCATCATCCCTCCAGAGTCTTTAAAGAATAGAAAACTAAGACTTGTGTCATGGAGCACAACATTTAAAAGAGGCTTTTAAAAATCTTTAAAAATGCAATGTTCCATGATTTTTAGATATTGCTTTTTGTTTCACTTGCTTACTTAGCTGGATGGATTTGTTTGTTTCTTTTATATCAGGGCCTATCAGTTATTGCCAAGAACCAGAGGTCAATGTATGTAATGCAATTTCATATGAAAATTAGAGGGCCTGGCACACAGAAAGAATTACATATAGTTGTTGAAAGAAGAGAGGAGCGAGGCGAGAAGGGAGGAATTTCATAGGATAAATTTTGAGAAATAGAAAAATCCAAATATTTCCTACTGAAAAAGTAAATTGTCTACACATTTGTATTTCAAACTTAAATCTCAGTTATAATAAGTGATTTTTCAGAGTAGAAAAGATTCCATGGCATGGTTAATGCAAAGTATAGCCCTGTTGTTTGCCCTACAGCACTGAATGGTTTTTGAATCATCAATTACAGATAAGAAAGCTTAGGCATCTGAGAACTTAAACCACCACTGGTCCTTATTTCTATTGGATGAAGATAAGTTAGTTTGGGGTGATGTGGTAAGAAATTTGGGCACCAGGATTGGGTTCCAAGCAGCGCTAACATGCCCTCTGAGGGACCTACCTGCTGAAGCTATCTGTAGCATTTTTGTGCTTAGGACTACAAATAAATAGTGTGAGTGGAAGTCAGTAGAATTCTACTACATGCTTCCTCCAGAAAGGGGATGCCCAGAATCCTTCCCCATCCCCATTTGGCTCTGTTGCTTGTCTCTAATGGGCCTTATCTAGGTGATTTAAAGATTTTACCACCTGTGGAAACTTTGCATTATGTATAATACAAAATTATATATCCAGAAGGCATCAACTATGTCAGAGAGAACATATCAACATCTAGGTGAAATGACAGAGGAAACATTTAGCTCTAATAAATGTTACCTGAGGATAGTGGGGGAAGTGGGTAACAGTGACTGTTTTATTCTTCTATACCATGCCTACGTTTTAGGTTCCCTGTGGTGAATACAGATTGCTTTTATAATTTAAAAAAGCCAAATAATATTAAAACTCCATCTCAAATTATTTTGGGGACATGCCTAAAGATTCACACATTGATATGTGTGAGAACACACATATGTAATATACTACATAGATTATCCATGTGAGATGATTTCTAATTGTGGTCCGTTCCAGCTCTATATTTGTAAAAAGTTCATTATTAACCTGCAAGGAGTCTAGGGACTCCTTGGGTCTCTAGGGACTTTGGCCCTCCTTTGTGGTTAGAGAAATCTGTGGCTATGAAGCCCAGCCTCTCAAGGATTTGGCCTTGCATTCTTGGGCTGCCAAGTGACCATGGGGCCTCCATGGTCATCCACATGGACTACATTCAGAATTAAGCTACAGTTGGTGATGACTGATCACCCTGTCTCAATTTAGACTAATAGCAGTAATTTCGATAGCACTGCATGTAATTTATTTATAATCACCCTGTCTCAATTAAACTAATAGCAGCAATTTTGGTTGCACTGCATGTAACCAAGTATGTTTTGACAGGAAAATATATTGTTGGTGAAGGAGTGTTGAGGGGGAGGGGTACAGGGGGGAGAGAAAATGGGAGAAAGCAGAATGAGTTCTATAGGATGCAAAGTTGTAACATTACCTGAAGACTGCATGCTAGCCCTTCCCTTAATCTTGTAAATCTTAGTTGTGGTGTTGAGAGGTGTGGATTTTTGTGTGGGCAGGGTTTTGAGGAGAGGGATGCTATAAAGAAAAATATTCCAAGTATTCTTAGAGACTGAGATGTTTATTTCAAGATTTCTTGATGTCATGGCTGTGTTGAACCTCAGAAATGTCATCCTTAAGCTGGTGAGAATAATAATTCGGGTTTTAAAGTCAAAAAGACTGGCCTAGGATATTAATTAATTCATTCACTAGAAGCATGACCTGGGGCGGTCAGCTTGCCTCTCTGGCCTTAGCTTCCTCATCAGGGAAACAAGATTGTTGTTCATGTATATTTCAGAGTGTCGTGTGGATTACATTAGGTGAGGAAGGTAGGGCAGCAGATAAAATCCTGATCACATAGGCGGTGCTCAGAGAATGATGCATTTGTGCAAAATTTTGGAAAATCCAGAAGCAGAGGAGTCCGGCTCAGAACTTGAAAAGTAATATATTCTAAAGTGGGCCATTGAACCCTATCATCCACCTCTGAGCTTTTTAAACAATTCTGCAAGATTCTTACCTTACTCTGTGTATTGTACCTAGGCCATTAGCAGGAAGCTTTTTGTTTCATATAATTCCCATGCTCACTGGGGAAGATGGCCCGCAGGAGACAAGGTTCAAATGGATTTTTAAGCACCTGCCATCCCCAACCTGTAGACACTAAGCCAAGTCTTGCAGACCAATAGACCAGGGGAAGTGCTGACTTTCCCCTCCCTTGCTCATTTCTGTGTTACTGCGCATAGTCACTATCAATAAATCCCAAAGTCTGCTCTGGAATGGGGGAGGGGGAAGGCAGAGGGAGGCAGGTAATATGAGCATGTTCTTGGAATTGTATCTACAAATCACATTGAATCTGTTAAAAAAAAAACTAATTAGAATTAAGATAAAAAATTTTAAATAAGTCTATTCTGGCAAGGACTCAGGTTCCTGGTTGCCTAAGCCATTGGGCTGGGAGTCATTGTTCACTTCTTTCCTCTCTTCCTTCATGCACAGGAATCAATTGTCAGCCAATCCACCTTCCAAACACCTTGTGTCTGTCCTGGCTTCATCTCACTGCCACAGCTTCACATGGGTCCTCATCATCTCCTGCACTGCTTTCCAGCTGGTCTTCCACCCTGTCCACTTCACCTCACAGATCTGGTGAGGTCAGTTCCCTTTCCATGACTTCGCATTGCTTTGAGAATAAAGTTCAAAACCCTTAAGTCTGTCCACAAGGCTTTATGTGATCTGGCCCTTCTATATTTCCAACTCTGTTCTAAGCCACTCTTGCCTTCCACGGGTGGTCAAGTTATATTAGTCTTGTTTTCATTTCTTCCTCTTTCCCCCATCAAGACCTTCATACATGCTATTCCCTCCAACTGGAATCCTCTTTGATTCCTTCTTTTTGATCAATAAACTACTATCTATTTTTTCTCCCTTGGTTTAAACTTCACTTTTATAGACTTCTGATTTTTCCAGAGTTTATTCGTTTCCTTCTACAATACATTCCCTCAGCAACCTCACATTTCTCCTTTTAGGTGGTCACCACGCTAATTAACAATAATTCAACTCAGCAACCTGTTTTTCCTACTTGTCACTGGATCAGTGCATCTATAGTCAGCATATCCCTGAGTAACTGCTATCAAGAAAACTTTTGCGGGCCGGCGCCGCGGCTCACTAGGCTAATCCTCCGCCTAGCGGCGCCGGCACACAGGGTTCTAGTCCCGGTCGGGGCGCCGGATTCTGTCCCGGTTGCCCCTCTTCCAGGCCAGCTCTCTGCTGTGGCCAGGGAGTGCAGTGGAGGATGGCCCAGGTGCTTGGGCCCTGCACCCCATGGGAGACCAGGAAAAAGCACCTGGCTCCTGGCTCCTGCCATCGGATCAGCGCGGTGCGCCGGTCGCAGCGCGCCGGCCGCGGCGGCCATTGGAGGGTGAACCAACGGCAAAGGAAGACCTTTCTCTCTGTCTCTCTCTCTCACTGTCCACTCTGCCTGTCAAAAAAAAAAAAAATTAAAAAAAAAAAAAAGAAAACTTTTGCAAAACTTGGGAGAAAAGGCAAAACAACCTTACCTTGTGCAACACCAAGTCTAGCAAGCTCACTATTTACTCTAGGGGGACCCATAGTAGGGGACTTCAAAAAGTTCATGGAAATGGAGCTAAAAGATGTTTATTTTGGTGCAAAAATTTAGAAATCCATGGG